TTAAATTATACTATTGGATAAACGTGAATTGTACACGTTTATCCAATAGTTTAATTTAAAATTTCGTTTGTCCAATGAAAATTCCATGCAAAAAAAATAAGTTTCAGTAAATAATAATTATTTCTTAATATTTTATTTAATAATAAGTGAAAAGAATCTGATTGTAAGGTATACAATTCTGATTGTAATTTTATATTGTAAAATGCAAAGTTTGAATGAAATCGTTCGAATAGTTCTTAAGTAATCAAATGTAAAAAAAAAAAATGGGGAAAAAAATTAGGTACTCAAAATTTATAATTATTATATAATTATTAATTTAATTATTCTCTGCAAATTATACATTAAAAATTTAAAATTAAAGTCTTTAGTTTAGACATTGCAATCCAAACTGCATTTTTAAAATACAAATGGGTAAATAATCATTAGCATATTTATTTTTCTGGTGACTTGAGTAGAAAAAATATTCTTAATCCATAAACTAAATTAATTCAAATAACAGCTAATTAATATTTCTTGGAATAAAATTTTATTAACTGATTTTAAACATATTTCCAGTTTGGTCGGAGTTATTTAATAACAAGTTGTATTTAATCAATTCCATTTTATAAGGCTCTATATCTGAGATAATATGATAATGTAAAGTTGTAATTTACTTTCCTTTTGCTTAAAAGTCACTTTGAGTTTTTAGAATTTTTTGCACTTTTTAAGAGTACATTTTACGCTTCTTTTTCTCCTGGAAAATTCTTTATAGTTCAAATTTATCTATTAGCAAACAGTATTTGTTTATTTACCATAAATGAAGAATTACAAAATAATAATAATAATAATTTATTAACTTATTAAATTTTTCCATTCCTTCATAAAGACGATTTTTAAAAAGTCTCATATGCGGAAAAAACGAGCTTTAAGCAAATATGACAAAATATTTTCAAATATTCTAATCAGTTAAGTTTTATCAAACATAATTTATCAAATATAATATTAAATTGACGGCACATTTTAAGCGTCTGGTTCATAATGGAGCCTTCTCTTATTTTTAAATCAAATCCCACTCGAAAGCAATTTTTTGCAATGCAGTGAAAGTTGAGTTTCTTCGATTATTAAGTACAATTTTACATACAATTACAATTAATTTTCAAATAGTTTTAAGAAATACAATTTTAAATACATTCTAATTTTATATAATTTTATATAAATTGCATCGGTAAATTTTATGAATTTTTAACCATTTATATAAAAAGTTTTTTTTTAAAGTAGAATCTCTAAATTAAAGCAATTTTAACGAAAATTCAAATAAAATTTAGTTTTAATTATTAATTATAAATCGTTGCAATTGAAATTTTAAATAATTTTGTTGCTTGTTTCACGGAAACTAATTCAAAATTTATTCATATCATCATTATTTTATTCTTTGTTGAACTTTTATGCGTATCAAATATTTAATTATTTTTACTATTTATTAGATTAAAAAAAAAGGAATGAAGAATGTTTTATGAAATCGGATCGTTTTATAAAAATATGTGATAGTTAAGTAAAGACGTATGATGACATTATACATGTTATAAATTATTCATGTTTATTTGAACAGCGCATACTGTTTAATTAAATCATTTAAAAAATCTTTTTTTGAAAAGTAGAATTAAATACGTATATAAAAATGAATGTCTGTTTGTGTGTGTCCTTTGTAGAGTCCAAAACCATTTGACCAAAAGCTATGAAATTTGGCATTCGGATAGTTTTAAGCACGAGAAAGGTCACTGTCTGTATTAGAACATTCTACGACGAACCTTTCGAGCGGGATGATCGAAAAACAAAATAGAATTTTCAGATTGGTTATTTCTCAGCCATTGTTTAAAAATTCAACTATAGACAATTCAATTTTTCAAATATTTTAAAGATATCATTAGTGATATTTGCTTGCTATTTGATTTAAAAAAAGTTTATTGCACGTACTTAAAAATTTAATTATTTCTTATTCGCTATTTTCGATAAATTCTATAAACAACATTAACGTGGTAGCATTCGTGAATTTCGTCACCAAATTAATATTTCTAAAGTTATCTGATAAAATGTGCTTATTTTGTTAATAGTAATTCTTTTAAAATGTGTTTCTGTAAGTATAAATAATGTAAAATCAACTGTAATTGAAATTAAAAAAAAAAGTTTTGTATTCAAAGGCAAAATTAATGGAAAAGTGATATTAATTTGCTTATTACAAACGTAAAAAATCGCCATACTATTATTTACGCCAATGATTCTTAATTTAGTTAATACAAATTAGATAGTGAAATGAAAGAAATAAGTTTTGTACTAAATGGCAAAGTTCGTGGAATAAAGTTATTTGTTCGTTTAGGAACCGTAAAAAATTGCCATATTATTATTAACGACAATGATACTTAATGAATGTTGATAATATGCATTTTTCGAAATAACAAAAATAACCAATATGCTTATAAGTTAAGTTAATGGAGAAAAGATACTTATTCGTTTTGGGGATATTATTCGACATGTTATTATCGATAACAATGCTTTATTAACATTGGTAATATGCATTAATAGAAATAAAAATAAATAAACTACGTGCTAAAAAGCAAAGTTAATAGAAAAGAGGTTAATAGGAAATTCGTTTAGGAGAACCGTGGAAAATCGTCATAAACAGATGACGCTGAATTAATTCTAGTAATATGTACTACTGGTACTATTGTAATTGGTGCAGCTTTAATATGAATTCTAAAACAGTTTTTCCGTAGTTTCAGAAAATATTTTTGCAGTGGTAAAGATAGTGTATTAATATTTCAATGAATTAGAATTATAAGAACTTTTTCCACTACTCCTTATAAATATTTTAAACTATAAATATAGTGCTTCAAAGTCCTCATCTAGGTTTACTAGAAATTCTATTTGTTTTTTGAAATTTGCAACAGATAAATATATTTCAAATAAAATATAAATGATGAAAGGTTATGCAATAAGCGCCAAATATGCTAATACAGATATAAAGACTGATAAATTAATTGATATATTGAGTGATTGATATATGGGCTGGGGATTATTAAAATTGCAGCAATAATATACTGTTTTAATACCGATTCTGTTGAAATAAGTGTTTTACGCTTCTTTGTCAGGGATATGTACCGGTGAAAATTATTCGATAGCGGTAAATTTTGACCATCATCAGTTAGCCGTGATCAATTTCATTACGCTAAGTGATGTTAATACAGTTAATCTCTATTCTGATGATTAACTGATTTGATTGAATTACAAAAAAAAAAAAAAAAANAAAAAAAAAAAAAAAAAAAAAAAAAAAAAAAAAAACGTGTTTTTTAGTAAAAAAACGTAAAGCCACAAGGAAGGGCAACTAATAAAATTAATAGTAAAAAAAAGAAAGAAATTATTTCAGCTTTATTAATTGATGAGATTAGTGGAGAAACCACGCAAGTGACATTATCAGAGAAGCTATAATCAGAGAAAGAAAGAAGTAATCTCTGAACTATTTTATTACCGATTTATTAGAAGGCGGGACTAATATTTATTTACCGTATTTTATTTATCACTCCCTAATTTGGAAGTAAAAATTATGCAAGCACACTGAAACTAATGTGGATAAGTTATATTAACAGTAAAGTAAAAGCATAAACAATTCTATTGCATTAAACATACCCCTATTGATGCAACCACTTTCTTATTTTTACTGATTCATAAATACCCCTATAAATGTCACTAGCCTGGTTCTTCCACTAAGCACTTTGATTGTGTCGGAATATGCCTTTCAGTTTTGTGCTTGATTTCATAGTGTTGTTCAGTAATGATCAACTGATTTTTTTTAATTCTCCCTGTATGAAGAACTGGTATTTAGCTAGTTTTTACACACAATTAAGACAAGCACACAATAACTAAATAATTTCAAAACTTTTTTTACGACATATGTAAATTTTATGACTCAAATAAAAATCCTTTTTTGATTTTGTTCATGGGTTAATAAAACTATTAAAATTGTTATCATGTTTCTTGCGAATCTTTAACTATATTTGGTGTAAAGATCTTTACCTGCTGATAAACTATGATATGATGTACTATTAAATTTTGAAATTAGTAATATTTAAAATTATTTTAACTATTTATAAGGTTATAATATTTAGTTGCTGACAAAACTTTAGGTCAGTCAGTCGTATGACTAAAATCTATTTTTAATAATTTTTAAAAATAGTATTTTCTTAAATTTATTTTTAAATCAAAGTGCTAAAGTTTCTTTTTCGTTTACTGTTTAGCAGCCCAAAAGTGTTTAGGCGCAGTCAAAAAATTAGTACAGTCACTTATTTAAAATAAATTTTTAATAGATTTCAATATCTAGTTTAAATATATACCCCCTAATTTGCTAATAAATTTTTTAATTGATGTTGAAATTAAATTAACAGTTGAAGTTTTTTTTTTGGGGAGGGGGGGAGTGACTTTAACCATTTAACAGTTAAACACACTTAACACACTTAACACACTTTTGACACACTTAACAGTAGTGTCAAAAATATAGCATAGTCATTTATTTCAAATGGATTTTAGAATCGATTTTGAATCTACTGATTTTAGTTACTTTTTAATTGAAATGTATTAGTTTATTTTCTTTTTCATGAAATATAAACAGGTTACAAGTTTTAGTTGCTTGCAAAAATTTAATCCATTCATATACTTAAAATTTTATATAAATAAAATCTATTACACATAAAATCTATTAGATATATAAAATCTATTATTTTATTTAAAAACATTTCAGAGAGATCCATACGAAAAAAATATTTTTTTCATTTCTGGAGTCTTTATAAAGTTCTTTTTTTTTTAAATATTTTTTTACCAGTGTTTTCATAATTGTTGACATTTTCAATCAATAATTGTTAGATTAAAACAAATCAGCCGAAAGCAAAACTGCTCTCCTAGCTTCATTTTTCCTAGATACCCCTATAAACATCCAGGAGCTATGAAATTCAAAGATATATTTGTTTACTTACCTCTATAACTTCCCCCTTTTCTTGACAGTGGGGGGCAAGGGATGATTCTTAACTTCTCCCACACCAAATTTAATTCTTCAAAAAACTCGTCACAATTTCACTTTCCTTCAGATTCTTTGTTACTCGAACCGGAAACTTCCTTCATCCGGTTCCTCTCATCCGGTTTTCATCTCTGAGATCCTTTAGCATCTTTTATCCACAGTGGGGTGTAAGGGGCAGACTTTTAGAGTGGGAGAGCCTTTATTTCCCTTTTTCTCCCCTTCCGTGGTCAACGCGCGAACACGTGCTAGGCCACACCCCTTTCTCCACTTTGAAATCTCTATCGGTGATGTGATTGGCTACCGGTGTCTAATTGGTAGCTCAGGATAGGTCCGGTGAGTTCTGGAATCGGTGTTTGATGCCATCAGTTTGTTGATTTGTGTGGGAAAACCGGAGACATATTAAATTAAAAATCGAGAATAATTTATTTCGTGAAATAAATATTTTCTAGCCCGCATTTTTTAGAGATTATTTACCCTATCATACCTGATTTTTTATCCGTTCATTTTGTTTTTGATGCGTTGTGATTTGATTTGTTTAAATTTTTAGTAATCAGTAATGAATTAAAGCTGAGCACAATTCTTTTTTAATGAGAGGGGTAGAAATGAACGAAAAGGTTTTTCTCAAATTTAGCCTATTACAGTGATGACGGACACTGAGTATTTTTATATAAATCATTTCGAATCATTTTGGGGGTGGTGAATGACACCTTCGCGAGAATTAATTGTTTTGAACATGTAGTTTTCAATTTTAATTATTTTATGATTGTAAATCTTCACCTATGACTAAACTGCAAAAAATCCGGATCAAATTACAGAATCAAGTACTGTTACACTGGGTGCAGCATCTGTAAAATATATTTTACAGTAAAATCCATTTTTCTATAAAATCCGTTTCAACTGTAAAATTTTAGACCGTAATTTATACAGTAACATTTGTTTAACAACAGTGATTTACGGATTTTACAGTAAATATTACTGTAAAAATTACGGCGTAACAGATTTTTTGTTCAGCCAAATGTTGTGGTAAAAATGAATTTCACGGTAATAAGTACCAGCAACCTGAGTGCCGGTATTTACCTGTACCTGTCTGTTAAGAGGACACTATACTACGGGAGAAATTCTGCAGAGCAAATATTGTTTTAACGAAATTAGTAATTAAGGGAAAGAAGAAGGAGTTCGAATAAACCAAAATTAAACCATGCTGGTTTATTTCCGCAAAATATCAAGATACAAATAAATTGCACGATGAGGAAGTAATTGTGCCAAAATTTGTTTATATTTGCCTGTGTGCATTATTGCATTCGCAGTATTTGCATTTTAATATTTTGAAGGAAATCATTTCTTTTTATTATTATTTTTTTATTTTACTTTCTGAAACTTTACGGAATTAGGCTTAGATTAAAGGCTTAGATTTTGAAACTCTCTTTATTTATCTGATTTCACTTTTTCTATAGTTTAAATTATAAATTTCCAAGGGATGTGAATCAGATTTTGAAGAATTTCCAGACAGTGTGGAATCTTCTTATTAAGACACCACTTCCGTCTCCTTTTTGAGTCCCTTATACTATTTTATTCTATAACCAACGTTGAACATCCATTCCATGCCACTATGTAAATGTTCAACTCTGTGTACTTGTAATTTTGAACCCGACCTAGAAGACAGAAAAATCCTGGATCACCCATAGAGGCAAACTCGTCTTTGCGATGGTCTTTTTAAGTGAAATTAACCCGCAGTTGCGTTAAATGGAAAAGAAAAACTCACTATGACTTCATACAGTTAACCCAACGACCAAAGACTTACTTTTTGTGAGCACATTCGTGAAGTAATAACGTTTAATGAAAAAATATTAACTTTTTTCACATTTATACGATCGGGTAGTCTCTTGTACTCAAAGATTACTTCTGAAATTGACATTCTTAATTGTGTACAAATGCTTCTTATAATGCAAAATAAAATAAAAATTTGGAGTTAAAAGTAAAAATAAATAAAAGAGTTATCTGTAAAACATGCACACTGAGAAAAAAAAGTATGGTCAAAAGTGCCAGATAATGGTACAGTTTTTCCTGTTTTTGAGTCTATGGGAACGCAAAAAAGATCAGTAATTTTTACCGAAACGTTTTAGTTATGATTTTGGTAAAATTAACAGTAAAGTACTGTTTTATAACATGTAAAATTTGATACATGTGATGAAATCTGGTAATTTTTAAGATGATGCCTTAAAGCATGGCATAAAAATCATTTATTCTGTTAATTTTACATTTCAGTTCTGTATTTTTTACTAAATGAGTGGTAAGAAGAACAATAATTTTGAAAAATAGAATTTACAGCAAACACTCACCATGCGAACCAAAAAGGTACGAAATGAATGGTTTAAATACAGTATATTTCAGAATTATTAACCGGAAATGTGATTTTTTTTATCCGAATGTTCTTTCCAGAGAGTACAATAATTTAACTAAAATTTTTTTCTTTGTGTACGATTAATAAAAGGAGTCTCCTACAACATAATCTATAATTTAAATCTATATTTCATATTTTCACTTTTTACCTAGTAAATAAATAAAAGAAATAATAATGATGCAACAAAGCAAGCATACTATTTGAATTGATCCCATATTTTAGAAAACAGTTAATCGCGATTTTAATACATTTTACTCTAAACTTATTTTTAATATATCTCCTCTTCGATTTAAGAAACACTTTCATTAATTTTTGCCATAGCATGCTAACATCTATACGTACATATAGAGGCGTACCCTCTATATGTACGCCTAGGTTTCGGCAAAGATCAGGGCTGAAAGCCCATATATATCGAGACGGAAAAGGGTAAAAACTGGTAACAAATAAATTTTATTTTTCAGTTTTTTTCCGGGAATAATAAAATCCTTAACTACCAATTGTTTTCAATGGATGCAATTTTTATATTGAATTGCTTCTTCGCCGTGAAAAATTTCCTTACAGTGAATTGTTATTGTTGAGAATAGATTAACTCCTCCCAAATATTATCTAATATTGAAATAGTTCTTCTACCAGTATTTTCTCTTTTCCGTCTCGCTTTCAGGCCTGGCAAAGATTCGATGACACTTTTAGAGTATTCTACCATTTCATAAGAAGGAGAGAAACAACTCACACCCGTTGACGCTCCCAAAATTATTAAAAAATGGCAACTAAGGCTCATCTCTCGCCTTGTTATCGACATTTTTACAATTTCAAAGGAATTGAGAAAGCAAATTGTTTCATTATTGGTATTTCGCGAGTATTCCTGTGTGCAAAATGCTGCTTATTTTAAGTTTTAAGGATTCAAATATTAAATTTAATAAAAATAATTACTGCTAATAAATATTTTTGAAATAATAGTTATACCAGTATTTAGATTTACGTAAAGAAAACATAAAAGTTATTTTTCCTTCTCTTCTAATTTTAAGATTAGCCTAATAACTTTAAAAATTCAAATTTTGATTCACCTAAAATTAAGTTCGTCAGCAACTCATACTTTTTTTTAAAATAAAATTAATGAAAATATAGGAAGCATTTTATTTATGCATTAACATAATTTAAGTTTGTGAAAACATTTTTTTTTAAATAATAATACAGTCTAGTAGTTATAGAGAACGAAGAAGATTGTTTATGATGAAAAATCAATACAAAATACATTTTTTGACAAAAAACTTTGTTATGTTGCTATACTTGATGCATAAAAACTTCTCTTGAGGGGAGGATTGAACTTCTTCCAGACAGGTAAATGAAGCATAATTTCCAAAGAATATCTTTACTCTGAATGAGACGATTGGGATAATATTTTTAAAATTAATGAGCATTATATTTTATAACCGTCGTAGAACAGTCGACCCAATTTTATGGGTTTACGACTACTAATGTTCAACTCCGTAGACTTGTAATTTTGAACCCAATCCAGAAGGCAAAGGAACTCTTGGATCGAGTATCGGGGAGAAATTTGCCTTCGTGGAGGACTTTTTGATGGAGCTATCCCGCATTTGCGTTACATGGAGAGGAAGACCACGAGAACCTCCCACGGTTAGCCTGACGGCAAGGGAACTCTAACCCATGATCCATCTACCAATGAGGATATTTCACGTCAGCACTGTGGTCGGTGCAAGCCGGATGCGGAATTCGTATCGACTGGGATTCGAACCCGGTACGTCGCTTTGTGAGGCGAACGCTCTATCCCCTGAGCCATCAATAATCATTATATGCACAAAAAGTACGAATTGATATCTAAACAAGTAATACATTGCTTCTCGTGTATTTTTTAAATTTTTTTACTCTGAAGCAGAAGAAACTACACTCAACTCACTAGAGCTTATAATTCAAAAGTGCAAGAGATTTTATGTGCAAGAATTACTTCTTTGGACAAGTCCTTAATAATATATTGCATTACATTGCATTGATATCCAGTTTAGAAATTATAATGATTTGCTTCATAATAAGCTCAATTCAGAAATGGTACTCTTTATACAAAAAAAAACTTTCGTAGCGAAAATCATTTTAACTTTTGAAACCTTAGCCTTTTTGATACGTGTTTGATCTAATTTGATGAAGTGAGAATTAATATACAGGAAGCAATACCTCACTTGTCTGCATAGCAATATGAAATGCAATACGCGCAACTGCAAATATGTACGCTTTGTACAAAAAATTTATATATTCGTAGTTGTGCTTATAACTACTCAGCAATTTTTCTTAATTGACTCCTGATTAGTCTCATTCAATTCAACGTACAAAATTACATCGGAAAATATACATTTCATGCTCAGATATTTCCTTGATATTAATGTGAAGTTTATACGCAAGTACGAGTCAAAAAAGTACTTTTTATGCATAAAAACTCTTGCAATTTTTGAACTATGCGTTCTATTAACGTGTGCAATATAGTCCCACTCGATTCAGCGTAAAAACAAGTTCATAGGAAAGAGTATCTCACAAGTTTAGATAGCAATTATCAAATCTGTTAATAGTTACAAGTAACTTTTTTTTAACATTTTGCATATAAACCGATTATAAATTTTTAACTTTTAGTTTGATCGTCTTGCAATCAGTCTGATTCTATTCAGCGGGTAAAAATACATCGGAAACAGTGTCTGACTTGCCTGTCCAGAAGAAATTCAATTTTCCTTCTCAAATCATTCCCACTTTCGTCAAAAAAGGGGAGAAGCGTACAGAAAAGAGTACAGGAGTTTTCAGGTATTATTTACAATAACGTAACAAAGCTTTCT